GATGATGATGATGATGATGATGATGATGATGATGATGATGATGATGATAGGGTATGTCTGATGATTCCCCATTTCAACTCAGCTAGCGCACGTTGCAGATGCAGATGTCGCCTTAGGAGATTGCAAGCTGGCTGAAAGCCCAACGGAGCAATTCTGGTCAATCGCATCAATCATCACTTTAACAAAGCAAGAATAGATTAGGTCGAGCAGGAATCACTTGGTGTGCTAATTGCAGTGTCGGGTAGAAAAGCTTCTTCCACTCTTTTACTCTCACTAGATCGGAATGCCAGTCACTATCTTTGCATCGCCCTACGGTAGAGCGCACAGTGTACCTTGTCAAAACGGATAGCTCACCTCTCTAGCTCCCTGCTTACCATGCCGTGCTAAAACTTGAGGCAGAACCCGAATGCACTTTTGCAGTACTGCTAACAAACTGTTTCTTTAACCTAATCGCAATCTATCTAACTATTTCCTGAGTGCGTTGTGTAATGCGTAGTCGGTGCCAAAGACACCCTCTCAGCCGCACAGATACGCTTCCAAAGCAATTTTACCTTACCCAAGAAAACAATAAATGGTGAGACTGACTTAGCTAGTTGATGATGACGGTGTAGAATGTGTTGATTTTTGTACTGTAGAATGGTTTCCTTTTTTGGCCTAGTTGGGCATGTTATGTCTGGGTGTTCATCTGTCTAGTCGAAAAGGTTTGGGTTAACAATAAGTGATTTGTTCTTATGTAAATGTAGAGGATATACATTTACTAAGTAAGTGATGACGTTGCGGACATCGGTGTAGGGTTACCACTTAGGCCTGTAGGAGAAGTAATTTAATTCAGAGTTAGGGTTTGAGGCACGTTTTGTTATTATTGCTTAGACTACGGATTTATAGTAAGGCTTTAGCATTCAACGCTTATGTGTGTGGCTTCGGAGTTGAAGTTATGACTCAGTGTTTCGGGTTATGGTTTGGCTTCCGTCATTATGTTCTTACTTGCAGCCTTTGCTTGCTTTCAGCTTCAGTGGTTGAAGTCCAAGTAAAATAATCCTACAAACGGTCACTTTAATTTGCGCGCTGTTTGCATGGAGTCGCTTTGGAGAATTTAAAAAGCATTATGTGTTACGCTACGTTTTTTAAGCTTCTTTTTACAACCATTGAAGCCCCTTCGTACCAGCAATCCCTTATAACAAAAGATCCTTCATTCACCTCAGCTCAATGGAATAACGTTTTCGATCTTTATCAAACAATGACTTCTACTAAAGTGTCAATGTTACCTTATTGACTAGTTTGTTGAGCTTAGTAGGACATCTTAAAAATTAACTCGCATTCGGCACGTTGCATGCCAGACACGAAGAAAATGGTGTGCGAATATCAAGGCTTCTGATATTTAACCGATTTGATCTTAATTACCCTGTGGGTATCCCTCTCCCCTCCCCGAACACGTACTGCACACAATGACGTCAGCTCTTCAGCAAAAAGAAGCATACTCTCTAGTGCCTCGCAAGTTATATCATGGGAGAGGACCGGACTTATCGAAAAGTATTTGATACTCTATCGTTATTGACTGCAGGTATTGATTCCTGACTCACTACATCCAATCCAATAGTGATATGCGGCAGTGGGTTGGGCTGGTAATTTCTGAACGACGTTCTCCCGCTTGTCTGGTGTCTACAGTCCCTTACTCGCTGTCTGTACAGACAAAATGCTGCGTTCTGCAATCCGCAGGTGCCTGTCTTGCATGCATGCTAATAGGCGAACATTGTTGGCAAAGACAAAGGAGAGTGCAATGTCCGTTTCTGGCTCATTGACCGTCATCGGCCAGCCATAACCAATCCACCACCCGAATCCACGACATATTGGTTAGCAGTCCAACGTTCTAACCACAGAGCTTCGGGCTCGTTTTCATGTTGGTTTACAATGGTAACGTTAGCACTGGCCTATGAATGCTCACTCACCGCCAATGGAACTCACTCTCCAGCATAGGCGCCAAACCCGCAACGGCTAGTTGTATAAACAGCAGGGCAGAAGAAGGTGTCGACTAGTGTCGAATGCTCTATCTTCATCAACCAGAGGTATTGATTACTGCTTTTACTGTATCAAAT